ATACATGTAGGTATATAATAGTTTATGTTATATACATACATGTATTGTATATACATGTATGTATATAATAGTTTATGTTATATACATACATGTATCGTATATACATGTATGTATATAATAGTTTATGTTATATACATACATGTATCGTATATACATGTAGGTATATAATAATTTATGTTATATACATATACAGTATTGGACAAAACATTTGCAACCAACATCGAACAATGCTAAAAGGTGTTCCTAATTTTACATGTCTTAAAAACGAAACGAACTATACTACCACAGCAAACAGTTCAGGAGTCTGGAGTCATAGTATGCCATGACATAAGCAATCAGCTGATAGGTGACAGCACACAGGCAGAATTTCGTTGACAAGTGCAGCGGACAAAACAAGTGCAGCTTTTTAGGTTTATTTCATTTTCTTAAGTCTGGTCCGTGTCAACGTCACGGAAGTTTTTTAATAATTAAAGGAAGTATCCAGAAGTTTCCAGAAGTTTCCAGACGCATCCAGAAGCTTCCAGAAGCATCGAAAAGAAGCATCTAGATTCTTCTAGAACAGGTTCACTCAGGTTCATTTTACTATATAAGAGACATGTAAACCGGCATCTAATTCAGTCAATCAGTCAGTCTTATCAAGGACTTATTAATAGATAGACGTTTAACGTATTGTTTAAAAGCCAAGATATCCGCGCTATTCAAAACAATAGAGAACTATTTTTAACTTGAGAATATTTTTACTTGATTTTACGTCAAAATAACGATAGTCACGTCTAGCCTTAGAAATATTTAAACATTCCATTACACCTAAAAACTCTAAAAAGTTTTTAAAGAAATAAAACCTTTTCAATATATGATCTATAAACTCAAGCGAAATCTTTACATGGAAAAAAAAAGGTAATCATAGAAAAATATTAAAACAAAATTGTGAGACAAAATTTCCGACAAAAATGAGAAATTTAAATACTTAAAATAATAGTGAAAACTAAGTGTAGGGAATAGAGACCACAAGTAATATATAGTTCGATCTATATATGATGTACAGTTTTACCTACAACATCTAGAAAATTCGTTTCACTTTGCAGTATTCATTCTTGCAAACTAAATATCACTTTTTTACAAAAATATGATTTTTGACGTCTAAGTTTTATTAATAATAAGTTCTTATTAAAAAGCGCTCACGTATTAAATTTGACATTTTAAAACAGATGAGCTATTTCTGTATAACTATTATGCATTAATTTTTTAAAAAAGTTAGAGTTTTGTAGGTAATTGTACTTTTTAAAAAAAGTAGTTAGAAAAGCAAAATTATCGGAAAAACGTCGATTGGCCGCTTCAATCTCCGGATCTCAACCCTATCGAGAACCTGTGGGAGATCGCCAACCGCAGAATTATTCGTGAAGGTGTTCGTAATAAGGATCAACTGTTTGAACAAATCCAAAAAGCCTGGGCAGCGATTCCACAAAGTTTCATTGATCACCTGATTGAATCTATGCCTCGAAGATGCAAGGCTGTGATCGACAACAAAGGATTCGCCACGAAATATTGATAGCAAAATACAGCTTGATCAACATTTTGTGGAGTTGCACTTGTTTTTTCCGGAAGAAAATCAACTTTTTTTAATACTTTTGATTAATTTATTAATTTTCGTGTAAAATAATGAACTTTGTGATAAATAAAACTTGAAGAACGTTGTCTCTAAACAGTTACATAGTTATTTCTCTAAATTGAAAAAATGCAGCACTTTTATATAAAGAAACTAAATTAGCATTATTTGGTTGCACTTGTTTTGTCCGATACTGTATGTATCGTATATACACGTATGTAATAACTTATGTTATATACATACACTTTTATGTTTATATTGTATGTATATAAATTAAATCTTAGCTTTGTCTATGTCATTTTCAATAAATTATGGATTTACCTAAAAAATACTTAACTGAATCTAAACTTTTGCAAGAGACTGAAGGCTGGTCTAAATTGTATGATATACAACACTTTTTAAGTAACTTTTTAAATGAGTTTGGAATAAATATTTAGTAATAATTGGCAAAATTGTAGTTTACGTAATGACACCAAACATACGCCTAAAGCAGAAAAGCAATGTGACCATATAACAAAATCAAGAAAAAAAATTAATAAAAAAACACAACGATTTTTGTGCTTAAAATAAAACATTAGTTTAATGTGAACTTTGTTTAATTTGAATTCTTCAAAAAATCATGTTTTTTAGGCTGGCGACAAAAATATTTTCAAAATTAATCATCTAATTCATTTGAAATTTGGCATACTTAGTTATTGTATTGGTATTTACAACATACACTAGAATCATTTTTAATGCTTCTCTCGTTTGGTAATTTTTAATGGTTTAGTCTTAATTGGGGTAATTAAGACAAAACCTTTAATTATCACCCAAATTTACAAAAACGCTAATATTTTATCGACTTTTAGACTTGACTTAAATTTTTTACACGTGTATATATCACCACCCAAAATTTCAATCGTAAACTATGTATGGTTACTCGCCCTTTACCCCACTTTTTAATGGTATATTATACGAGATGAGAGAAAAAAAAAAACATTTGTAAAAGTTTGATACAACTTTTTTTTCTATTTACTGGACTATCGCCTTAAAGCTGTCTAAAAAATTTTTAGGCAACTGTATATGCTTAATGCTTAAAACAACTATAGAAGGTCACCATGCTTTTAGGGACCGACAGTGATTTCTAGTTTAAAAAAATAACGCAGGTCTAAAAAAAATTTATTGCATTAAATTTGACACTTGATCTTACATAATTTTGATACGCTAAATTCAAATCTGGCATTCATTTTTTATGGAAAGCTACAGATTTTTTGCAATTTATATTTTTTTAATTTTGCAAAACAGTAGAAATAGTTCTAAAATACAGATTTGAAACTCATTTGGAAATGCTAGGATATACTTTTTAGAATAAAAGTTGTTTACTAAACTAAAACAAAAACAGAAAGCAAATGATGTTGATTGTAAATGTAGAAGCAAATGTAAACTGATTAAAATAAATATTTTTCAAATATCCAAGTCCTAGCAAAGTTATTAACTTTTTATTGATTAATAAAAAAATCTTTTACTTTAGTGAAAGATCAAAATCTTTTTTACTTTGTTTTAAAAAAGATTGCAGATTATATTGCTTATTTACAACTACTTAATCAGGAAGAAACATAGTTTTCTGCTTTTTTATTTCCAAGAAAATTTTTTATAACAATCACAAACGATAACCAAGCCGTTTTCTCTTTGATATTCATTGTTTTAATGAATTTTTTATTTTTTATAAGATAGCGAATTTGTGGTCCGTTCCTGCTTTTTTTTTTCTCTATTGACAATCCTGGTAATAATTTAACTATATACTGAAAACAATCACTATCAGTTTTTAGTGCTTTAACAAATTTTTTCATGAATCCAAGTTTAAGATGGAGTGGTGGAAAAACTATTTTGTTTCGACTAACAATCGGTTTATTTAGAATATTTTGCATGCCCACTGTGAGAGTCTTGCAAATGGGCAATTCTTTTTGTATCCAGTGTTGATTTCTCGCTCGACTGTCCCACATACAGAGATAACATGGAAATTTTGTAAAACCTTTCTGCTGACCAAGTAGAAAGTTGACCATTTTTAGATCTACACAAATAATCCAGTTGTGTTCATGATATTTAATCAAGTTAAGCACCATTTTAATGTCATCGTAAGTTTCTCGCAAATAAACAGAATGACCAATTGGTACAGAACCAAAAATATTTCCATTGTGCAATATAACGCATTTGAGGCTTCGCTTTGAGCTATCGATAAAAATACCCAACTGTAGTAGGAGACCTAAAATATCATGACAGTAAACAAATAAATTGACTTCTGAAAAAAAGTCAACAAAATTTTCATCTCTTGTTCTAAAATAAGATACTTTAGCAAAGTTATCAAGTAGGTTTTTTTCTTTTAAACGTGACGCTAATACTTCTGCTGCTTGTTTAGAAAGTCTTAAATCACGAACTAAGTCATTTAGTTCTATCTGAGGCAAACTAAATTGTTTAGCATTAGATGAGAAGTCTTCCAAATCTGGTAAAAATTCTTTTGTTTCTGTAGCAGACACGCTTTGCTCATCTTTTGACAAAAATAAACCTTTGAAAATTGGAAATGGAATCTCGTTAGAATGTTGAATTGGTCTAATAGCAGAAGGAACGTTGGGATAAGTTATTTTTTGTCTCTTAATTTTGCCAACACCACTAGTATCAACAAGACAAAAATAGCAGTTATCAATATGATTTAGTGGTTCCCTCCAAACCATAGGGACTCCAAAAGGTAAATTATTTCTTTTTCCTTTTGTCCAATCTCGAAGACTTTCTTCACAAATATGGCATACAGTATGTGGAGCCCACCATTTATCTTGGTCACCAAGTTTAATATCAAAATACGATTCATATGCTAATTTCACAAAATTAGTAATATTTAGTCTTTGTCGAACAAGTGCATAGCAACCACATATATAACAAAATGAGTTAGGATTATGCTTGCACTTATATCGATTTGAAGAAGCCATCATAATATATATTTGATCTAATAAAAACAATGAGATGGTTACTTTTTTTATAACTATTGAATAAAAATAGCTATGAATAAACATAGTTAAAAAAAAATGATTAATTGAGAATTGCAAAAAAACTAGAGCTTACCAACAAAAACGGACCTTATATTTGGATTCAGCGTTTAAAAATACATAAAAATTTCAATATCTCATGCAACAGAAAAAGTTTTTTTTTGTAGACCTGTGTAATAAATATGGGACTTAAAAAGTTTATTTTCATACCCAAATTACCCTACGGCATCCGATTAAAAATAGACTTACTTCAGCTGAGCAGGCTAAAAGTTTTTGAATTTCACAAGAGTCAACACTAGATTTCATTCCTTCGCTCTGACTTCAACAGCAAAAGAATATTACAACTTTTGTTGCGGAAATCAGATAAAAATAATAGATCATTATAATAATAATTTCACTAAAAAAATTTCATTTTTTGTAATTGGAAATTAAAAACTTTCTGAAAATTGTTAAGAGTTCGGATGCAAATGAAAAAGCTTTGCGACAGCATTTAAATCTTCATGATCATGTGAATCAGATATTAGTTTTCTAGCCACTGGCATATGACCAAAAATGTTCCAAAGTAAAATTCCTACAATTTTTTTCTCTTTCATATAAAAGACCACTCCCTTTCCAAAATCATCTCCGGTTTGTTGGCTAACTGTTTCTGCTTCAACGGTAACATCCTGAAAATAAATTATTCAATTAATTAAAATTAAATAATTATACAAAAAACGCAATATATACAACAAAAAGGTGTAAAAATCTTAGATCAATAAATATATTACGGGAGATTGTGCATCTGATCGGATATTTTCTCCTGATTCTTCAGAAGCTACTTTCGGATTATCTTTTAAAGTAGCTTTTGCCCAAACACCAACAGTGGGCAGAGAACTATCCACTATTCCTATTGCTTCATATCCTACTTCTGGTCCAAGATCACTCCTATTAGAAAAAAATTATATATATATATATATATATATATATATATATATATATATATATATATATATATATATATATATATATATATATATATATTATAAATAAGATTATAAGATTAACACGAGGCTACTAAAAATTTGCACAAAAAAAAATTGCTTATAATTGTCGTTCAAAATAATTGTTTCGCAACTGAATAAGTAAGGATAGCAATAATAAATCATCTTATAACCGAAAGTGTCCCATGATCAACAGCGTAGCGAATTTTAGTCTTAAGCGAGCAAAGAAGGTTTTCAAAAAATTCTGGACTGAAATCTCGTAACTTAAGTTGAATTCTCTTTTTCAGGTGGCTAAGATCTTTGAAATTATTGGAATAGACTCTCTGTTTTAGGTGAACCCAAAATGTCTCAATGGGTCTTAATTGCGGTACATTTGGCGGATTATCATCTTTAGGAACATAGGTTATATTAAACTTCTTATAAGTTTCGATTGTTATCTTTGCATAATGACAGCTTGCACCATCAGGGCAAAATATATGTTTTATATATTTGTGATGCAAATTGATGAAGGGAACAGGTTTCTTTTCAATGCATTCTTTAGAATATATTTTTGCATCAATGGCATTATTCTTATTGCAAAGAAAGACTTTGATTTACTAAATCTACTGATTGCAATCCATACTAAAACTTTCGCTTGAAACTTTGATTTAAACTTATATTTAATATTACTTTCAGTTTTGTCTTTATTTTGACTATAAAACCCATCATTTCCTGGTGTGTTTTGGCTGCTCAATGTAAAATAGGACTCGTCATCCATGATAATTTCAAACTCATTTGACGGTCGGAAAAAAGTTTTCGAAAGTTTTAACAGTCGTTGCTTTTGTTTAAATATTTGAATTTCAGAGCTTTTTGATGCTTTCTTTTTTTTTAAATATTTAAATCCATGCATGTTAAAAATTTTATAAAAAAAAAACTTCTATGAATTCTATATTTTAATGCAAGATTTCACTGGGAGATTCCAACTTTATTTTTATTCTTTTTAATGAGTGAAGTAATTTTTCTTATGTCTATTTTGTATGGTTTTCTGCCGCTTCCCGACTTTCTTTTAAGGTCAATATTGTCGCCAACTCTTTTAATAACATAAATTGTTCGCCTTGCAACTTTCATTTGCATAAAATGATGCACTGTAAATGTTTTCCCTTTGTCTATATTATCTAAATAGAAGTTTCCAATAAGCTTTTATTTGTCGTTTTCTTCAATTCCATCCATTTTATTTATATAACTTTAATTGCCAAAATCAGTATCAGATTATGAAATAAGAATGTGCAGTGAATATATTTATCGAACTGCAGAAATATTCGAATTTGTTCGCGAGTTTCGAACGTTCAAATTTTGTAGAAATTTTTAGTAGCCTTGTATTAAATATTATAAAATTATATTTGAAGTCAAATAATAGTATACTAAATAGACTACTATTTCAAAATCCGTATAAATTAAATTAAAAAAAAAGTAAATTTAAAAACTTTTGCGTTCTACACCATAAAATCTTCTACTTCTTATCCGACTTTACACCTTATCACATATAAAGTTTTAAAAAATTAGGAAAAAAACGTGTTTAAGTTAAGTAGATAATAAATAAAAATACCAAAACATGGATTGGTGATGATACGATTTTTTTGCACCAGTCATGTTCTCACCAGCTAGTTTACCACTAACCACAGCATGATCGTGATGTTCAACACGACGGCGACCCAAATTAATGTCATAAAAACAAGCTGCATCACCAGCCTTAAATTAATTTTGTTAACTTTATTAAATTGGACAGAAAAATAGTCGAATTTAACAAAAACTGGAAAAAAACAACAACTGAAAGTGATGAATTTCGCAATATAAACATACCACCTAATGATCGTGATATAAACTTACCACCCAAATATCTGATCGTGCTTCAAGTTCTGAGTTTACACGAAATCCTCCATGATCCTTATCTACTTCAAGACCACCGGAAGCAGATAACTCAGTACTTGGTTCTAATCCAACGCAAACAATCACATGATCAGCTATTAACTAAAAAATAAACATATATATATATATAAATTTTACAAAAAATAAAAAATAAAAGATAAAAAAAATAAAAAAATAAAAGATAACCTTTTCTTTGTTATCAAGTATCACTTCAACTTTTTCTCCACAGTTCACAGACTGAATAGATCGATTTGGCATCGTCAAAACCCCTTCTAACATTATAACATTATAACATAAAAAACTTCTATTAGACAATATATGTTATAAAAAAATGAGAATATCAGCAAATATAAAATCAAAATATTAAAATGTAATAGAACCTTTATTAACTTTTTTAGTTGTCCATTCACTCAAATATTTAGGAAGGACCTTTGCCATATTACCTAAAATAATTTTATTTTAGTTGCTTGTTGATTACGGATGATAAAATACCTTTTACAAAAAAATTTTCAAAAATAAGTTACCATCTTCATTATAAATCTGTGTCACATTAATCCCAGATTGCTTTCCTGTATATATAAAAAAAGATTCATTAACAAGATTTAAAACTTCATTCAATGTTTAATAATTTTTCTTTTTACTTTCAATTTTAAATAAATTTTATAATAACATTTTAAACACATTTTATTACAACAAACATTAACAATAACCAGGCCCGTGAGGAAGGCAAAGTGCCGTTTTTAATTTGACGCCAAAAATTATTTCTAGACTCTTTTCGATGTCAAAATATTTAATCAAAATTTTATGATAATTATTTGATTTTTATGAATCATTCTCATGAAACAATTTTTACTTTACTGTTTCACAAACGTAAGGCGTCATTACAAGTCATTGCATTGTGAAATCTTTGTAAACGAAAAATAAAAAACAGTCTCTCCATAGTCTCTATAGTTTAAGATCTGAAAGTTTATTTTTAATTACTTGTGTTTCAAGTGTTTTTTATTATCAACAGTTCTCAAAATGTAACAAAACATTATTCGACGTAGAAGAAAAAAAGGAAGTCATTAAAGATGATAATAATGTTAACAAAAGCTTGTCATGCGAGTAGATCAAACAGATTTAAAAGAATGTGATTTTAAAGAAGAAAAACGATATGATATTGACGAACTCTCAAGTCTCTGACGAAATCAAGAATTATCACCACATGAAATATACAAAATGTTTACGAATAACTTAAAGCACAAGACACATTTTCAATTTCCCAAAACATTAAAACACGGTTGCAAATGCGCTTTTAAAGAAGACTATTTACAAAATGGATTTGTCTACAGCAAAAGTGAAGACGCAGTCTACTGCATATACTGCACTTTATTTCTAAAGCAGGATCTTTGGGAGCTTTTGTTAATTGTGGATATAAGGAATGGCACAATATTTTAGAGAAACAAAAACTACATATAGGCAATAGATACCATAAAAAAGCTATCGGACAAGCTAATGGGATTTGTTATCGTTTTGAAGATCCAAGACAAACCATTCCATTACAAAGCGATAGCATTTTAAAAAACCAACAACAAATGTACCTGTACATTGTTAAAACATTAGGTAGAACAGTGCATTTGATGGGGGAAACAAGGACTTGCATTTCTTGGAACTTATGAAGTGTATGAAAAACTAAGACCAAAAAGGTAATCCTGGAAACTTTCTTGCAATTGTGCAAGAAATAAACAAAATATACAAACAACATTACGCAAAGATGTCAGCTACCTTGGCCCCAAAAGTAAAAATGAATTAATTGATATAATTGGAAAGAAATGTATACAAGAGCAGCTAATTAATGAAATCAAAGCTGCAAATTACCATTTAATTTCAGCAAACGAGGTAACAACTGCAAACCAACAAATTCTATCATTATGTAAGAGATACATTAACGGAGAAAAAGAAATTAGAGAAGTATTTCTTGACTTTTTGAATATTGACAGGATAACAGGCAAACATATTGGGGAAAGCTTGATGAAATTTTATAGCGAAAGTGGAGTTGATCTTAGTTCTTGTAGAGGCCAGTGTTATGATGGCGCTACATGCAATCTGTAAAAAAAGGTGTTGCCAGCTATAATTTAAAAGGATCGCCAAAAACAATTGTAACACATTGTAGCTCACATAATTTAAATTTATCAATTGCTGCTACATCAAAAATACCAATCATTGATAAAATTTTGGAGGTATACAGAAATATATTCATTTATTTCAATACCTCTCTGAAAAGAGAGCGCTTGCTCGAGCGTGTTGCAGAGATCCGTTGTAAATCAACTAAAAGAAAAAAGACTTTGATAGGGATGTGCAAAATAAGATGGTCAGAAAGAGGTGCCACATATGAACACTTTTATTTAGCTATACCATTTATGGTAGTGGCATTAGAGATTATTTTAGGAATACACTCTAATATAGAACAGTTTAATATATAGTTTAGTATGGATTAAGACACACAAGGAAAAAGAGAGGCCAACTCACTCCTTAATGCACTCATTAAGTTCGAATTCATAATTGGTATTATAACTTTGTACCGCTTACTTCACCTGTTGTCATATATAACATATATATGTCATATATATAGGGCGCACAACTGATATTGTGTATGCATAAAGTAACATTCAATAAAACAATTAACGATTTGAACCATATACTGAAAAATGTTGAAAAAGAAACTTACGCAATTTACCAACAAGCTCGTATGGTTTTATTCGTATGGCAAGTAATTTATTTGTAGAACCAACAATTCCCAGAATCACTATGAGACAGGCCTACAGAAATAACATACCTGCATAGAGTCCCCATGAATATTATAAATAGGCCTTGATAATACCTTTTCTTGACACCGTCATTTCAGAAATCAAAATACGATTCCAAAAGACAAATTTTAAGGTTTTATGCTTGGTTCCCTCAACAATTTGCAGTGAGGAGATAACTGCTTTCCAGGAGTTAGTTAAAATGTATTAAAGTGATCTTCCAAACTCAGAAGCTGTAAATCAAGAATTTATGTTTTGGAAAAGAAAATGGTCTGTTATTAAACCTGAAGATAGGCCTAATATTCTAGCTAATGCCATTAAAATCTGCGATGAAAATCAATATCCTAATATCTTTGAGCTTCTAAAGATCGGATGTACACTACCCGTAACATCCACAGAATAAGAATGTAGCTTTTTAGCAATGTGAAGATTAAGAACATGGTTGAGAGCCAGTATGACTGCAGATAGACTTAGTTCATCATGAATATCCACTACAATAAAATTGTTGATTATAAACGTCTCAAAATTATTTTTCACTTTACATCCTAGAAAATTGTATGAAAAAAATTAAGTTTTTGAATAAAAATTTAAACCATTTATCAAAGTATTATTAATCTTTGTATCGATACCCATTTTCTAACAAGGAGCTTTCTTATACGCCTATGCAGTATAAAAATAGAAAAAATATTCTGAGAACATTAAATTTGTTTAAGTAAACATTGTTTACACAAATATAGCTATGTTTCACCAAAAATTTATTAAGTAAATTTAGTAAGATATTTGCTTGGTGTTTTAAAACTGCCTTTTTTTTTTAAAAACGAACCTCCCTACAAAATTTCATGGTACGGCCCTGATAACCATAAGATTTTTTTTAAAAAAACTTACTAGAAAACGACTTTATCTTTTTTAAAAGAAAAATATTTTTAATTAATAATAATTTTTAATGAACTAATTCGCTCAGCCTTAAATAAAACTAGAGATCAATAAATCTGTAATTTTTTAACTTGAAGACACAAGTGTGACACATTGAAGACACAAGTGTGACGTGACGAGTACAACACGCAAACTAGTCTATTATGATTTTTAACTTTGATACAAGCATATGAATTTGTCAAATATGAACTTTAGCTATGATAAAAAATCAGTTTAGTGCATATGATTTATATATGAATGAATCTTATACAGTAGAAGAAACAAAAAGAATTTTGAGAAGGAATGGATTAAATGAATTAATGACTGTTCTACAGATTTCTAAAGATGTTAAAAATTTAAAAAAAAAACTTACCATATGTGGATAGAGCACAAGCTAATTCACTTCCGAGAAAACCTCCACCAACAATTAAAATATCTTTCTGATGACGTAAAAGTCTTTTAAGCTTCTTCAAATCATTAACCTTAAAGTTAACAAATAATCATTTAACAAATCATTTAATTAGTTGGTCTATTATTAGTTCATTATTTAGTAATGTCAAAACAATTTATAAAGATTTACTTGATAAATTATTTCATACTATGCAATAGAACTTACATCTCTAAACATTGTTATATGTTCGTTTTCCTTATTAATGTTTTTAAATGCAGGATGTTGCTTTGGCTTACCACCTTGAAAAAACAAGTAATAATAATAAAATAATAAAAAAATAATTAGAAAAAAAAACTTAAAATTAATATATTAAATCATAATATAATAATTAATATATTATTATATAAATTATTGGTTGCAAAATAGATTGAGACAAATTGATCAGAGGTATGCAGCCATCCTACCATACTTTAATAAATAGATCATCCAGGCCATATTTTTAAAATCCGGAAAATTGTATAATAAAATATCCGGAAAAAATCCGGAATTGACTTGCTGAGTTGTTTTCAATTTTTTTTTTAGGTTTCTCTAATTTTTGAATGAGTAATAAGTGAAAAAGCTTTAAAAACAAATATATTACAAAAAATATATATCTAAACTGGTATGTATGGAAAACATTTTGGATATCCGGAAAAATAAAAAGTTGAGAAAAATATCCGGTATTCCGGAAATATCCAGAAAAACATAATCCTTGAATAATAAAAATGTACACATCTGGTATAAAGAGTGCAATACAGTTTACCACCATCATTCACAAAAAAACTGTAAATTATTATTACAGAACTCTACTCTTTAGTACATATACAACAAGCATAGATATTTTATAGAATCCAAACTTCTTTCACTTCAAGAAATTCAGGTCAGGTACCTTTCTACTGATAGTATGTAGTTCAGTAAAAACTGCCTTTCATCCTGCTGACTTACAGAATTAGCTAGACAAAAGCCTGTCTCAATAAAAAACCTCATTCTGGCCAGATATTTACTGTATCCACTTGACAGATATTCACTGCATCCAGCTAATCTCATGTAGAAAACTTGACAGATATTCACTTAACGTCATGTAGAAAACTTCCTAAACAAAAATTTTAGTAGAGATTTTCTGTTGTCCAGCCTTTCTTCATCTTAAAGACTGGCATCAATGTAAACATTGTTTCCTGCCAGGATGCTGAATGCTAGATCTATTGATTATACTCATAGATTTTTGCTTGGTAATTTCTCCTTGGTAGTAGCAAAAAAAGGAAACTGCATAGCCTATTGCTTAGGATGTCATAGGGTTATATAGGTTAAGGTATCATTCACTATGATTGAGATGTCTATTAAATCAAAACATGAAAAAATTACCTAAAAGTATAAAACAAAAACAACCATCATTATCACCAAATCTTTTACAAATATTCATGGTCTCCTAAGTAATTTATTTCATTTTGATATACCATCCACTGCGATATTCCTTTTAAACTCTTTAAATGTTAAAAAGACACAATAAAACCCAAACAGCAGCACATAAAGGCTTCAGAAAAAATTAAAACCTACACCATGTCAACCCCAACCTATACATTGACTTAATAAAAGGTAAAAAAACAATGGAACATATAAAGATAAGATACATTTGTAACTAGTCTTTATATGTTCCAAGGCAGGAATAACTTAAGAGAGTAACTTCCAATAAAAATAAAAACCTCCAATAAGCTATAAAAAAACTTATACAAAAAACCTCATAAAACTTAATACATAAATTAATATTTTCTTCAGAGAAAACAAAAAAACATTGTTTTTTTTTTTTTTTTTTCTCTGAAGAAAAAAAAAAAAAATGTTTTTTTGTTTTTTCTAAATAAAATACTAATTTACGTTTACTAAGTTTTAAGAAACAATTCAGTGCACCTCTATATCTCACCTATATATTCCTGTTTGGGAAAATAGAAGAAAAAAAAAAGCAACCAAAAAAGGTACAAAATTAAAAGAAATATATTTACCAGTGGCAATGAGTAATTTTGCATATTTAACTTTCTGACCATTCTCCAAAGTTACACTATGACCCAAAGCATCTATGCTAGTAACCTGAAACAATTTTTTTTTAATATTATCACATCAAGCAAGTGTAGTCCCTATTTAGTGAAAATAGGATAAAACTCATTGTATGACCGTGTTTAGGATCACCATTTCCTTAGTAAATTATTCTATATAAATTCTTATTTCAAAATAGTTTAGACAAAAAAAAATCAACAAAATGACAAACTCTGTTAAAACTATGTTGAAATTCTATATTTTTAAAAAAATATTTATTAACTAGTCATATTAAGGCATATTCTTTACTTAAAGTTTTTTTTTATATCACTTACATTTTTACCTGTTACAACTGAAACACCACCTTTGCTTTCCAAATCATCTAAGCTAGTGTAGTAACTTGAATCTTCAAAGAATACACTGCAAGAAACAAAATAACTTTTACCCTGTGATTTTATTCTAAACTCAAATTTTTATATAAAAATTTTTGAGCAAAACTTCTATAATTACTAAGTTCAAAATATTAAAAATTAAAAAAAATTAACTGCTACCACCAAAAATAACTGCTACCACCAAAATTAACCGCTTCCACCAAAATTGCCGCTACCACCAAAATTGCCGCTACCTTTAAAACTAATCGCTGAGTTTTATGGTTTTGTACACATATGTGTATTTACATAAAAATAGCATTACCTAGTATTTCAACTTGTTTTAATATGATGTAATATTAAAACAAATTGAAATACTAGATTGGTACAAAAATAATTCCCATAGGATATTATTACAGATTAGCATCATTCCCTATGAACATTGTTAGCGATTGATATAATTCCTACTGGATAATATTATTAGTTGGTATAATGCCCCATGGATTGGTTCACAAATAACTCCATTTAGAAATTTTTTTTTGAAGGAAAAAATTTCTAAATGGAATTATTTGTGCACAAAGGAACTCTAATTTGTGCACGAAGAAATTCTCGTGTAAACGGTTATAAAAGCCGTAATGGTAAACTTAGATAAAATATGATACAAGAGGGTATAACAACTTCATAGATTTTTGATGCAAGTGTAAAATTTAGTATAAATTTAGTTAAAAAACTGATTATTTCGAAATTCATAAAAAAATGGGTAGAACAGCTAAAAAAAAGAAGATGATGGGACAGAATAAGAAAAAAAGGAAAAATTCAGAGGGGTTGAGGTATATTTACCTATTGAAGTACCCATGATGGGATTTACCTCAGAGACAGCTTTAATCTAATGGTAATATTCTAAGATACTATCAATTTATTCTTCGCGAGTCACAGGTTAAATACAAACCTACTTCTACTAATGTTGGTTGCAAATTGAAATCGAAATCCAAGGATCTTGTTTGTCAAAATGAGGTTTGTACAGATCCTGATAATTCTTGCTTGGTAACTAGGATTAAAAAAATATGGGATAATGCTGGGTTTGGCAAGAAATTTGTGATTTCTGGGTACAATATAAAGACCAAAATCATTAAACTTAATTTAAAATATAAGAAAGTGATTAAATTGTCTTTTCTAAACTGGAACAGCAGCCTTGATAAGCAATCAGAGTTAGAGAGATTTCCTCACAATATCCTATCAGCTTTTTAACATCTCGACTAAGAATTTTTAAAAAGATATTATTGCTGATAGATTGAGAACAGATAATGCCAAGCTGGACGATATATAGTAAGTTCATTAAATAACACTTTTTTTAGTAGTGAGATTTTCTTTCCGATTTAAAGTAACTTAAGTAATAGCATATTATTTCCTTTAAAATATTTACGTTCATCTCTTTCCATGGTTTGATCATCTTCTAAAAAAAAAGTTCAAATATGTAGAGCTTGAAGAAGACTTGGAGTGGGTTTCAATAACTAATCATCTTAAAGGCCAACGACATATTCTTCATTTTGATACCAAACTGTTGGAACAAAGTACTACTGGTCTTAACATTATTCAAAAAATTGAGCAACTTGCAGTTTCAGTGAGTTGCCCGGATGACAATGCCATGGAAGACCATCTTTTAGGTGTTGTTCGATGTCCCTCTTCAAAAGGAGTTGACCAAGCAGAACAAGTGCACAATCTTTTAGAATATTATGGATGTAAAGATCAGATCATTGGTATATGCTGTGATACAACTGCAAGCAATACAGGCAGAGTCAATGGAGCAATCCGAATTCTTACACATATTTTGAAATTGCTTATGTTGTGGATAATGTGTAGGAGACACATATATGAAGTACATGTATCTCACTAAATGGCTGATCTTACTGGTGAGAAAACTAAAGATCCAAGAAGAGTTTTTTATGTCAAGCTAAAGAACAAGTGGCCTGAAATCTGTGAGAAAGTTAATGAAGTGAAAAATTTATGTAAATTGGACTGGCAAAAAGATGATCTGAAGGTTGGCTCTGTTCTTTGCACTGTTGCAGAAGAAGCTAAGACATTTTTGACTAATGCAACTACTGATATGATGTTTACAAGGAATGATTATGGTATAGTTTGTAAGCTTGCCTCCTTCTTCCTTGGAGCGGAAGTACAAGGTTTTAAGTTTCATCAACCTGGCGCCTGCCATGAGGCAAGGTTTTTAGCAGATGCGATCTGCTAAAAACCTTGCCTCATCAGCACATCTTTTTCTTTCAAGATATCAGTAATATCTTGACAGAAAAAGAAGTGCTGCAGTTAGAGGATGCAAGTTTGTTAATTGCAATTTGGTATGTTTCATGGTTTTTGAAAAATTTTTTAGGATTTCTAGCTCCCTACAATGATTTGAAAGCTATCCAGACAGCCTATACATTGAGAAAAGTCAGTAAAAATATTGGAAATGCTTTGCTTCTCAGCATGGGACGCCATACTTGGTACTTAACTCCGCAACTCTGTGTTTTGTCCTTTTGGGATAAAGAAGTTCCTTCTGTATCAAAGCTAAGAATGCTGTTAGCTCTGATTGAGTTTGAAGAACAAAATGAATTTCAACTACTAGAGATGAAGATCACCTTCAAAATGTATTTTTGTAGTTAAAAAATCTAGAAAAAACTTGACTAAGAGTATGACTAAAAAGGAACTTGGGAACTGTTCAAAAGGTTGTATTTTTTGAGAAATGTTTCACTGCAATAAAATCTTAAATTTGCTAATAAAAATTAGTTTTAATGTATATTTTTTTTTTTGTATTTTCATATTTATAAATATAAGATATCAAGTTAAATAGTAGAAAACAATTGGAAATGATTTATACAAATATAATTGTTTTGTTTTAATTTTCAAAAATGTAAAAAAATTGTGTTTTCTATTAATGTTAAGCCAGCTTAACATTAAAACAGTAAAACTCAGATTTTACATCTAGCACTTCCTATCAAAATAAAACCGTCAAATTTTTTTTAGTACTTATTTAGGTCAAACAGAATGGGAATCAGTAGAGAGCTTTTTTTTTTTTTTGAAACACCCTAATGATTATTCTGCTACTGGTAACATGTAATCCATGACTGCTGATAAGCCAATTTATTCTAGAGTAAAACTTTTGTAAAAACATTTAATCCAAATTTTTTTTTTCTTTTTTAAAAATCAAAAGCTTTTCAGAAACCTTTTCAGAAAGTTTTTATATTTGACATAAATATTTTAAAGTTTTTAATAGTTTTAAGAGAACAAATTTTCAATAAAAATTTCTATGACATTGCAATAAAGTTAAGTCTCTTTCTCTTTTAGTTTAATTTCTAAACTTTCTGAGTACTATTGTTGCTTAAGCAAGCAGCCATGGTAATAAAGAAAACATCACCTTATGTTCCCAGGGAGTTCCAAAAGGACTTCAGCTTTAAATCTCTATTTTTTCTTGATCTCCATCCAGGAGCTCTAAAAGTGTCAAGTGACTTAAGATCTGCAATAACAAAATAATTTCTTGAAAGTTTATGCCTTGGAACCTACTCTATTTTAGCCAGGAGTCGAGAGTTCTAGATTCCTTACCACCACTATACTTAATGTTCAAGGTTCAATGCTTGATTGTTCCTCTAACCTATAAATCCTAATTTTTTTCACAAAAGTAGTCCATAGGCCTCTTAAAATTTATGGAGCTCCTGGATAAAAAAACCAGGAAGAAATAATCATTTTGTGACTTAAATCTGGAGTCCTTTTTAAGACTCTGCATCTCTGTATGTCCCACCTATGAAAACACAACCTTGTGTTATGTCATTTACAAAAGTCACATACTTCAATAAACTGTCCCTTCATGTAACTGTTCCCTAACTATAGATAAAAGATATTTTAAAAAATTCAAAACCTTCTTTCTTTGCCATTCCATGCTTTATATGAGAGACTTTCAGAATTATCATCTGGATTAAACCATAATTCTTTTGAAAGTGGTGGTCGCATGTATGGCAACACATCTTCATTGCCAATAATTAAAATCTAAAAAATAAAAAAAAAACTAGCTTGAACAAAATTTGCTTGATTAACATCTATAAATAATATAAACATACAAACACACACAGTAAAACATATACATAACATAAAAAAAAAAGAAGAAAAATTTTATTTTTAAACTATTTAATTTTTTTTTATTTTTTATTTTTAGTTTAATTTTGGTTGTACATTATTAAACATTATTATTTTAATCATTATCATTGTGTTTACTTAATGATAGTAGTTTTACTATTTGTAAACAACCTTAAAATGTAACTAAAACTATTTCAGAAATATATTGATTGGTTGACTATATTATAATAAAACTTTTTTGAAAACTAATTCATTCCCAACTGCCTGCAAGCAACTACTATTAAATTGTGAGTTATTAGAAAACCAAAGAATAGTATTGAAGAGCAATCAAACAGTTGACAGTAGACTAAAAAGTAGTAGGTTGTATATAGGTTTATTATAGGTTGTCAAGAAAATATAAAGAGGGGAGAAAGTTCAAACGATTGATGTGTGAAGAAAAAAACTAGAAGAATAAAAATTTTTAGAGCATAAAGATAAAAAAATGCAACTTTACTGAATGAAGAGTTGAGTTTGAAGAGTTTGAATGAAGAGTTGAAGAGAATAAATTTTAGTTAATGGAACTAGAAATGATAGCTTATTTGAAAACATGATAGTATTTGCAGAAAAAAGAAAGAAATGCAACCTTACAAAAAAGAGAGAGTGGTTCAAGCATGGCAGGTAAAGCAGGTCTAACTACATTTACAACACATTTTTGGACCTTATCTAGAAGGGAAAGAATATCATTTGAAGAACCAGCCCAAATATGGCAACAATATTACATTGAGAGGTGAATAAGAAAATTGTAGAGGTAAAAATGGATTGTATATATGGTTTCAATGAGAGAATAGTAGTTAATGATAATCTAAGATGAGGTAGAGGACTCAGTGAGGAGATTGCCATTTATCACTATTGAAAATAACAATATTGCGATAGTTATTTGCTGTAAATAGCTGAGTTTTGTTGGAGTCAAAATTAAATGCATGTTACAGAAAGAAGTTACAGCAAGCCCCAGGCTGTTACAAAAGAATGATCGATTTAAGATTATCTGCCAGTTACAAGTGACCAAAAAAAGAAAACTATTTGCGACAGGAGGGTAAAGTTAATTTATAAACATTACATTTTAAAGTGCCAAATAGAACCACTTAAATGTAATATTTTCAGGAAAATTATTAATGTAGATAAAAACAATACAGGAGGATAGAACCTTGAAGTAACCCTAGAAGTAGTAACTAGAAATGAAGATAAAGAAGATTGATTAAATGATTATTTGAAGGGTCAGAGTGTTCTTATGAGAAAAATTGGAACCACATACCATTTTCCACCAGGCACAAAAATAAGATTTAGTCAAGCACTCACACGAAATAGTTTAGGCTCAATCATAGATAAAGCCTAAGCAATGAGTTATGCACTTTAAGCAATGAGCTATGCACCTTAAGCAATGAGCTATGCAGCTAAGCTATGCACCCTAAGCAATGAGCTATGCAGTTGCCTTAGCCCTGCTAATTAATCCTAAGTTGTAACTAAGGGCTTCTTAAGTATTCTCAACAATGCCCTGTTAGCGCATTTGGTGGGCATCTATGCACAACATGGCAATGTTAATACTCTTATATTTTAAAGCTGTTAATTGAATGAGCCTTTCTGAGAACTATCACAGAGTTTAAGAAACTTTATTGCCAGTGAATCTTAGAACCATTAAACTGTCAAGTGAGTCAAGAATATCTAGCATTTATTATCCTAGGCAGGAAACAATAAAACACATATTTAAATCTTTACCAGACTAATAGATGAAAAAGCGGTGTGAGATTGGTCAACAGAATAATTCTGCTTACCCCTAAGGTCTTTGCTTAGGAGGCCTTCTACAAAACACTTTTTTAATTCTAGACAATTAAAATTTTAACAATTTAAACGAAAAAACATAATAGTTACCTTTGCATTAGGTTCACGCTTCTGAATTGCTCTGCAAGCAGAGTGAGCTGCAGTGCCAGCACCAATTATTATATATGGAACTTCACTTGGTAACTTTAAATCTTTTATTAAAACTAAAATATTGTTTTAAAATAATTTGGCTGCTAAATTTTAACACTTAGATGTTTTGTTTTCTAAAATTCTTAAGCAATTTTTAACAATTTATAACCTTTTTTTAATAAAGGTCAAGGAAATATTTTATGAAAAATAACAAAACACTTCAGTTATTTAAAAAAAAAACTTACTTTGAGGCTCCTCTACCTTCTCAACTTCCCCAACCTCTGAAGAGTCCTGAATAATTTCTTTGATTTCCTCTGTGTCAACTATTGTTTCAATTTCATTGGGTTTACTTATGACTGGTTCTTCTGCAACTTCAGTCTTTAAAAAATCCTTTTATAAACATCATTTTTATAACAACACTAAATGTTATTTATAAACTCGTTCAAAAAGAAATTGAAAAAAAGTAAAAGAAGGTACTAAGGAAATTAAGTAAACAAAAAATTTGCTCATTTAATTTGACTAGAATGATGTTAAAATAAAATCACCTTGTACTGTACATTACTTTGAGGCAATGGTGAAGTAAATAAAGAATAAACCTATTGCATAAAAAAAAACCTTTAAAAATTTATTAAGTCCTCCTAACTTATACAAAAACAATATATAAAATTAAACATAAAAAATTAAATAAAATTGTTTACATTTGTTGCATAATATAAACATATTTATTGTAAAAAACATAAAACATTTGAAATATTAAATACATCATTATATAATGATGTGCTCTGTAAAAACCTGACTTCATTAAATGTGTATGCATACATACCAAAAAATGTTGATTTAAAAAAAAATTTAATGAAGATTCAAAAAAAAAAAAAAAAAAAAAAAACCATACCAGAGCACCACTAACAGTCAAAATGCCGACACCAGTTCCAAGGTATATTTTATCATTGTTACCTTTAGTAACAGAAGAGCTATATCGACAACCAGAACGCACTAATGTAGTAGGCTTTAGATGAATTGATTTACATATAAAATTTCTGTTTTGTCTTATCAATGAACAAGATTTCCAAAGTCGAATCATTATTATTATTTATTTTTTTTATAACTAATAAAGACTTTTATAGTTATGAAAACATAGTTAAAATAAATAACTTTTTCTTCCATATAACAATTATACAAACTTATAATCAATAATAATTAAACAATAAATATAAAAATAAAAAATCAGGCTACAAAAAAAATTAATGGTGTAGCAAAAAAAAGCTAGATTTATACATCTTTGTAAAATCAAATTTACTTCTCCAAGAGAGCCAATATAGTCATAAAGGCTACTGATTTTTTAAATCTATTTAATTGTCCATGCAACTCATTTTTAACCTGATAATTACAAAACAAGAACCTTGGCAAACAAGACCACTGCACAAAGAAACAAGTCAAGTACAACCATAGACACAAAAAGGATCAAACTTCTTGTTTTTTGCTCTACCAAAAATAAAGAAATATAATAATACAAAATAAATGTATTTTTAGCCTTCTTTAGCATTCTTTAATGAAAATTATAAAAAACTCTTTATAAAAAAGTAACCATTATTGCCAAGAAAGGTCAAAATTGATTTTTAATTGAAATCAAGTAGTTAAAAATCTAATACTGGTTCTATACTGGAATGATTATTTATTTTTATTGAAAATTACTTTTTGTTATGTTTGTAATTGCGTTTGAAATAAATAACTTTAAAACTTATATCTTAAAATATCTTATTAACATTACGCAAAACATTTTTACATATTACTTCTTCTTATTATTAATAAATAAACAAATTTTATATAAAATATTGAAAAGAAAAAAAAATTTAATTGTTTAAATATTTTTTCCAAAAAGTTGCAAATAATTGTTTAAAAAAATAATGAAGTCTTTTTAAAATAGCATTTTTTAAAATTATTTTATTATCTGATTAATAAGTCAGGTTTAAAAGAAAAAACAATTCTTCTTAAAAATAGAAACAAACAAAAAATAAAAATAAATAAAGCAATTAAATCATTCCATTGCAATGGGAAGATTTAATTTAACTTATTCAAAAATAAAAAAAATAATAAAAAAAATAATAAATAAAAAGATTTTTAGAAAGACATGGAAAAATAGTTTCAAATGTTTAAATCTATCCATAAAAAATGTATGCCTACATAAAAAAAATTTACATATAACATTTTTGGTAATTTACACAAATTGCATTTATTTTAAACAATCATTATAATTTATTTTTTATTTTGTTTAAAGTCTTGGCATAAAATAAAAACTTTGAAAAGATCAACAATTAAAAGTTATTCATAACGTAAATATTTTTTTATTGCAATTAAATTGTTAATAATCAACAGCTGAGGTCAAATTGTAAAGAAAAAAAGTTAAAAGCGCGGTCAGTTACAATGTGCGATCACATGCCATTCCTGTCCAAACCTGCCATCACTGATACCACCATATACTTCTCAAATACACCATCACTGATACCACCATATACTTCTCTGTGACATCACTGATTCAAACAACTTAATAATGAGCTCAAAACTATTGAAAATTATTTAAGAGAAAATGAATAAGGGTAAAAATAATAAATCTACTAATAAAAAATTAACAATACAAAATTCATACAAAAGTCATCTGTTTCTCAGTACCAGTTTCTTAGTTGTTTGCTGGACTAATAACTCAAATTAAATGAAGCAAAAAACTGTAAGATGATACTGTAAGACACATAGCAAGATCGTGATAACAAAATAGTGCATTAAACAAAATGTTCAAATAACTTATAAATATTTAAATGATCAATTATTATTAAGTTTTTTCTGCTTTAATCAATATTTTTATTGTTTTAATGTTTTTTACTTATTTTGCTTCTTTTTTTCATATGTATGACAGGTTATTTGTGTAGTGCAGTATTTTATATTGATAAATCTATACTGTACAAAACTTTCATGAATAATAATATTTATTATTATATCTTAATTAAATTATTTTTCAATTAATATTTTAATCAAACATATAATACTAAACTTCAAATGCATGTCAAAAAAAAAAAGCCAAAAAACTGATATCCATACTGTACGCACCTTTTATTCTAAATATTTATTTATTGTATTATAACTTATTACATATATAAATATAAACATAATTTTTTTTCCTGGAAATAAATACTTTTTATTAAACTACAATAAAAATGTCTAAACTAAAAGACATGCTGCTTGCAATACTCCCAAACCATGATGGCACCACTTATGTGTACATTTAATGATCGAATAATTCCAACTTGAGGAATTTCAACACATTCATCAAGAACTTGTATCAAATCAACTGGAATTCCTAAAGATAAAAACTATAATAACTTTTTTCAAAAAAAAGACAAAGAAAGAGTAGGAAAGTTGTTATAAACACATCTGACCTGTTCGCTCATTACCAAGAATTAGAACAGACTTTTTTGGAAATATAAAATCTCCAATTTTGCTACTTTTTGCTGTTTGTTCCACCCCAATCAAACTGTAACCATCTTCCTTTAAATCCATTAAGTATTGGAGAAGTTTTATAGGAAGGACTTGTTGAATATCTAGCCATTTTTCAGCGGAGACACTTAAAGATTGAAATCCTGGTTCATTAATATAACGCTGGCTTCCGATAAGAAAACTAGAAATACCAAATATCTCTGCTGTTCGACACAAACCACCAAGATTTGGAATTTTTTCCACTAAAACAGCACATAGTATTAACTCTGACTTTTTCATATCTTGTTTTCGTACAAATTCTGAGCAGAGTATTTCATCATCTGAGGGAGGCAAAACTTTCCATGGCATTATTTTTTTTTGAACATTGATTTGTTTTTCAAGCATTACTCCATTCAAAAGATCTGAAAAAAAAAGTATTATTTTTATAAACACTTATACTCCTATCAAAAAATTTTCGTTAAAGTTTAGTATAATACATATGATTATACATATGTATAATCATATATAGAATATTTTTGTCTGAGGTTTTTAGTAGTAGTCATCCGTAAAGTATGGATGACTACATCACAATAAATGTAAATTTTAATGGAAGTATGGGATCATTTGCTCTCTTGTGTGGAGAATTTTATTCAGCTTACAGCAGTTTGAAATTTAAATATTTAAATCTCTGCATGGATGCAAAGATGATTTAAGTATTTGAAATTCAAGTGTGATAAACTTTATGAAAAAAGTACATCTAAATTTACCTATATTCTAATTATCTATAATAATACCTAAGTAAAATTACTTATAAATTTATGGAAAAAGTACACTAAACTAAGTTACTATGCTCAACTAATAAGTATCGCAAATAGGAAGAATGAGGCCCTCATAATTAAAAAAAATGAGGTCGGAAATAACTTACAGATCACAATCTGTTAGAGGTTGGTATCAAGTCTGCAAAAAAAAATTGATACCAAGGTTTTACCGTAAAAAAAAGAAATGAGGTGGGAGATTTTTTACTGACCTTAAACACTTTTAGGTTGGCAGTTAGGTTAGCATTGCCAAATCCATTGCTAATCCTAATTCCAAGGGCTGAAATATACATAATATACATAAAGACCTGAAAAATTTAGCCATAGCAATGTTTTTATATATATCTTTTAAGTTATCCATATAAAAAGCTTTTAACTAAAACTATTTTAATAAAAAATTGCGAATAGGATATGAAAAACGGTTTATCATTTTTTTTAACTTTTTATTTTAATTTATAGCGATATCAAGGTAAAACATTTTTTAAAAATAAGTTTTTTTTTAGGAATTCATTTTTAAAATTTTTTTATTTGAACAAGAGAACTTGTCTTCTAAAATTTTTTTGTTCAAGTTTTCTTTAACTTGAAACTTGAAAATTTGAAAAATTTGGATTAATTTTTTTTTTTTTTTAATTTTAATTCACCTCCTCAAGGCCGAGAAGGCCACTACAGACGAGGAGGCTACTTATTTGTGGCTATAACCCTCTCTCAACTCTATAACTCCGAAACACGAACCTTGACAAACAAGGCCGCTGCGCGGAGAAACGAGTTGAGCGCTGTACTACCAGGGACGTGGTGGGGATCGAACTCGGAACCACTCGTTTATGAAGCGAGCGCTCTACCACTACACCACTACCGCATAGCACCATACCGAAAATTTTAAATTTCTTAGATGCTGAGTTAGCTCATCCAGTTTTATTTTACTTTTAATGTTAGCTCACATCCCCAAGACCAAAAAAGCTACTACAGATGAGGGGGCTACTTAATTGTGGTTATAACCGTCTCTCAACTCTATAACTCCGAAACACGAACCTTGATAAACAAGGCTGCTGCGCAGAGAAACAAGTTGAGCGTGAACCACTTGCTTATAAAGCAAGCCCTCTACCACTACATTAATACCGCTTAGTTACTATATATGTTTGTGTTAGCTCATAAGTTACTATATATGTGTCTGTTGTTTGAGCTTCTGACAAAGTGTTTACTCACCCACAGTTTGCTATTTGCATTTTTGTGATGACCCTAGACCGTAGCTTGTGTTAACTCTGACACCTCTAAATATCATCAAATCAATCTTCTCTTTATCATTAGAAAGGTCTTTGACTCTTTGACTAACGAATTTCGAGGCGTAAAATCAATCTTAATGCCAATCTTTTTAGAGAATTGCTTATCAGTTGAACAACCAAAACTATTTTTTTATATACTAGTTCGTTGTATAAATATAAGTAGTACAGTATCAAACTCCAGCATTAAGATTACAGAAATAAAGTTGAATATATTAGTGAAATACTTTTGATTACAGACTAACTAATATAACATTATTTTATAACATATAACATTAACTAATAAAACATTATTTTATAACATATAACATTAACTAATAAAACATTATTTTATAACATATAACATTAACTAATATAACATTATTTTATAACATATAACATTAACTAATCTTAATATAATTTGCGTAGTGAATTTTATTATTATTAGTGTGCATAGTTACACCTATTGTTTTATAGTTATGGTACGGTTCTGAATTTTGTAAAATACACTTTTTAAGTAGTTTCTTGACTTTTCTTAACCGCGTGCTCTCTTAAAGAAGTCGCAACTTTTCATAGTACGAGTTCAAAATGTCTAAGTAGATTATGTTTTGTAGCTTAAATTTATAGGTAATATAAAATCTTTTTAAAATTTTATAAGTAATTAATTTATTGTAATCTCTTTTAAATTGTACTTTTAAATTTAAAGCTTCGTGTTATAGATGTTAATATTGAAAATATAGATATTACAATGGTGTCTACCGTTAAAAGATATTTATGGGTAGTTTCATGCTTTCACATGCATTTATTAATTGGAATAAAAACCATGGCAACATTTTGTTATAAATAAAATTTATCTATAGTATTGTTAATACTTTGGCTCTTTGAAAAAAAATATGTTTCTAGCTTTTCAATAAATATATAATAATTTGTCTTGCATTAATGAATTTTGGCTTAGGATATAAATGTGTTATTATATGTTTGTTTTTCTGTACTTAATATAGCATTTATCATTTGCATACATTTTTATTTAAGTTTAATTGTTTATAATTTATTTAGATTATTAGAGAATTCATGTTTATAGAGTTGTTATTTAATCATAATCAAGTTGTTACACCAAGGAAATTGTAGAGGTTTATTTATCAATATATACTATAAATTATATAATAATATTAGAGGGAGTAAGTTAAAAATCATTTTTAAATTTTTAAAAAGAAATAAAAATACTTTTCAATATGTATCTGTTTTCTTTGAGGTAGATTTAAAGTTTCAGGTTTTCAAAATTGTAGATCTTTTCAATGTCTAAATAGACATTAAGTATTTCAATGTCTAAGTAGACATTAAGTATATATAAAATCTTTTTAAAATTTAATAAGTAATTATTTTTTTAAATAGGTAATTAATTGTTTATAATTTATTAAGATTTAAATTATTAGAAAATTCATGTTTACAGAGTTGTTATTAATCATAATCGAGTTGTTGAACCAAAGAAATTGTAGAGGTTTATTTATCAAATATATACTATATATATTATATAAAAAA